TGTGTGAAGGCAGACAGTGAATATTTTTGGCAACATAGTGTATATGTGCAATGAGATTTACCTGTATAAATAAAGTGGAAATGAACTGTTTACTTTTCCAGGTAGGAAGTTTGTCAGCATCTTGATGCGTTTCTGGTATCTAACGAGCGCGCGCCTTCCCGAAGACTCCATGGAGGGAACTCGTATCTTCCAGATGGCCATTGGAGAAGGAGAACCAGAAACTAAGAGACTGCTTACTGCAATTTATGAGTAAGTATCTTTTTTTTTTTAATATTTCTGTGCATTTTTCAGTTACTTGGAGTCATTCTGATCTTTCCTTTTACCTCTCTGACAGATTCCAGAGGGAGTTTACTAAAGGAGTTCCTCCAGACTGGATCATCACCAGGATAGAGCACTCCAAGCTTTTGGACTGAGGTGGTGTTGAAAGAAAAATAGTCACAGCTCAAGATTATCCGCACTGGGGGGAGTGAGACACAGCTCCTCAACGAAAAGGACTAAGTTGGATTTATCCACAATTTACTTAAGCAAAGACACAGGAGCCAATCACAGCCGCTCTACTAAATACCACCTTGGACTCCTGGTTTGTTTCATGACGTAGAAATTAGAGATTCAAGCCTGATTTGGCTTGTAACCCCTGCTCTCAAGAGTCGAACACTTTCAGGAAGAAAGTGTTATCTTCCAGTTGACAGTCATGTGATCCCAGATGGGTGGGGTCTTCAGACAGGTTAACAGCGACCAGCTGATTTGAAATGAATACATTGTGATGGTGCTGATGCGATAAATGTCTCCCAGCTCAATTTAACCTGAGTCTGACGAAGTGACTGAAACCTCTGAGATTTTTAAAATCTTTTTTCAGTCTTTGATCTGCTGCTGTGTATTCTCATCTTTAAAAGCTTAACACATTATGAGATTAAACACTTCATGTGAAATCATTCCTTGAGAGAAAACACTCACTGTTTTTCAGAGAAGACCGACTGACGTCTGCTTCTGTAACCGTGGAGCTGCGATCAGGATGTACGTGGCATTTTTTTTGTTTTTGTTTTTTGTCTCTGATTTATTTCCTGACCTTTTGCCTTCAGGAGTTTTTGGAGTATGAACCTGCTGTACATGTGTCTCTGATGGGCAGCTTCACGAAGCTGCAGCAGACTCGGTTTTATTAAAGAT